TAGTTGTCTTATTGCTCTGGCTAGGACTTCAAGTACTATGTTGCAGAGGTATGGAGAGAGTGGGCAGCCTTGTCTTGTCCCTGATTTCAGTGGGATTGATTTAAGTTTCTCTCCATTGAGTTTGATGTTGGCTATAGGCTTGCTGTATACTGCCTTTACTATGTTTATATATGTGCCTGTATTCCTGATCTCTCCAAGACTTTAAACATGAATGGGTGTTGGACTTTGTCAAATGCTTTTTCAGCATCTAAGGAGATGATCATGTGGTTTTTCTCCTTCAGTTTGTTTATGTGGTGGATTACATTGATGGATTTCCATATGTTGAACCACCCTTGCATGCCTGGGATGAAGCCTACTTGGTCGTGGTGGATGATATCTTTGATGTGTTCTTGGATTCGGTTTGCAAGTATTTTATTGAGTATTTTTGTGTCAATGTTCATAAGAGAGATAGGTCTGAAGTTCTCTTTTTTTGTTGGGTCTTTGTGTGGTTTAGGTATCAGGGTGACTGTTGCTTCATAGAATGAGTTTGGTAATGTACCTTCTGTTTCTATTTTGTGGAATAATTTGGAGAGAATTGGAATTAGCACTTCATTGAAAGTATGGGAGAATTCTGCACAGAAACCATCTGGCCCTGGGCTTTTTTTGGAAGGGAGGCTGTTGATGGCTGCTTCAATTTCCTTGGGAGATATAGGGCTGTTCAATCTTTCTACCTGGTCTTGACTTAATTTTAGTAGATGGAATCTATCAAGAAAATTTTCTATTTCTTTGAGATTTTTTTTTAACTTTGTGGCATATAGGCTTTTGTAGTATTTCCTTGGGAGATATAGGGCTGTTCAATCTTTCTACCTGGTCTTGACTTAATTTTAGTAGATGGAATCTATCAAGAAAATTTTCTATTTCTTTGAGATTTTATTTAACTTTGTGGCATATAGGCTTTTGTAGTATGACCTAATGATTGTTTGGATTTCCTCATTGTCTGTAGTCATGTCCCCCTTTTCATTTCTGATTTTGCTGATTTGTATAATTTCTCTCTGCCTTTTAGTTAGTTTGGCTAAGGGATTTGTCTATCTTGTTAATTTTCTCAAAGAATCAGCTCTTGGTTTCATCGATTCTTTGAATTGTTTATTTGTTTCTAATTAGTTTATTTCAGCCATGAGTTTGATTATTTCCAGGCGTCTGCTCCTCTTGGGTGTTTCTGCTTCTTTTTTCCTAGGGCTTTCAGTTGTACTATTAAATTGTTTGCATGAGATATTACAAATTTCTTCTTAAAGGCACTTAGCGCTATGAGTTTTCCTCGAAGCACTGCTTTCATTGTGTCCTATAAATTCGGGTATGTTGTGCCTTCATTTTCATTGAATTCTAGGAAGTCTTTAATTTCTTCCTGTATTTCATCCTTAACCCAGCTGTCATTGAGAAGTAAGTTGTTAGGTTTCCATGTGGGTGTAGGATTTTTGCTATTTCCATTGTTGTTGAGGTCCATCTATTTCCATTGTCGTTGTTAAAGTCCATGGTGGGCATATAGTATACAGGGGATTATTTCAATCTTCTTGTATTTGTTGAGGCTTACTTTGTGACCAACTATATGGTCCATTATGGATAACATTCCATGAGGTGCTGAAAAGAATGTATACTCTTTTGAGTTTGGGTGGAAACTCTTGTAGACATCTATTAGGTCCATTTGAATTAGGACCTTTGTAAGTGCCTTTATTTCCCTGTTTGGCTTCTGTCTAGATGATCTGTCCCTTGGTGATAGTGACGTGTTGAAGTCTCCCACTATTAAGTTGTTGGAGTCAATGTGTGATTTAAGCTTTAATAATGTTTCTTTTATGAATGTATTTGCTCTTGTATTTGGGCCATAGATCTTAAGAATTGTGATGTCTTCTTGGTGGATTTTTCCTTTGATGAGAATGTAGTGCCCCTCTATGTCTTTTTTGATTACTTTTGGTTGAAAATCTATTTTATTAGATATTAGTATAGTCACTCCTGCTTGTTTTTTGGGTCCATTTGCTTGAAAAACTGTTTTCCAGCCTTTTACACTGAGGTAATGTTTATCTTTGTTGCATAGGTGTGTTTCTTGGATGCAGCAGAATGTTGGATCCTGTTTCCGCACCCATTCTGTTAGTCTGTGTCTTTTTATTGGAGAGTTCAGTCCATTCATGTTGATAGATAATACTGACCATTGAGTGTTATTTCCTATTATTGTAGACTTGGTGGTTTTATTGTGATTCATTGCTTGTTTTCTTTTGATTTTTGTTGGGAAATTATCTATAACCTATGTTTTCTTGGGTGTACTTCTTTTCCTTGGATTAGAATTTTCCTTCTAGTATCTTCTGTAGGGCTGGTTTGCTGTTCAAATATTGCTTAAATTTAGTTTTGTCATGGAATATTTTGTTTTCTCCATCTATGTTGACTGAAATCTTTGCTGGGTATAGTAGTCTAGGTTGGGATCTGTGGTTCCTTAGAGCCTGCATGATATCTCCCCAGGCCTTTCTGTCTTTCATAGTTTTCGATGAAAATTCCTGTGTGATTCTGATAGGTCCACCTTTATATGTTACTTGGCCTTTTTCCCTTGCTGTTTTTAGTATCTTTTCTTTGTTCTGTAGATTAAGTGTTTTGACTATGATGTGGCAAGAAGAGTTTCTTTTCTGGTCTAGTCTATTTGGTGTTCTGTAGGCCTCTTGTATGTTTGTGAACATCTCTTTCTTCAGGTTGGGAAAATTTTCTTCTATGATTTTCTTGAAAATATTTTCTGGACCTTGGAGCGTCGAATCCTCTTCTTCATCAATTCCTATCATTTTTAGATTTTGCCATTTCATGGTGTCCTTGATTTCTTGGATGTTTTGTGTTTGGCATTTTTCAGATTTTACTTTTTCTTTGAGAGACATATCAATTTCTGCGATTGTATCTTCAGCACCCAAAATTCTATCTTCCATCTCTTGTATTTTATTAGTGACACTTACATTTGTGGTTCCTTCTCTTTTCTCTAAGTTCTCCAGTTCCAGGGTTTTCTCTGTTTGTGTTTTCTTTATTGATTCTAATTCTGTTTTCATGCTTTGCAACATTTCTCTCATCTGTTTGAATGTGGATTCTTGTGTCTCCAGGATGGGCTCTATTTTTTTGTTTCCTCTCTTAATGCCACTACTTCTGCCTCCATTTGTTTGGCTATATTTGCCTGTGTTTCTTTAAGACCTTTGTTCACTTCATTTTTCTTTGTTTCCATTTGGGAGGCCAAATCTTTGAGAGATTTATTTGTTTACTCTTTAATTGTTTGAATCTGTGTAGCTATTTCTCTGAGAGATTTGTTGGTTTCCTCTTTATGTGCCTCATATAACTTGATAATCATAGCTTTAAAATCATTTTCTTGTGTTATTGATGAGTTGGAGTATCCAATAATTTTGGAGGTTGCTGATGAAGCCATGATATCTTCATTTACTTTGGTTGTGTTCTTTCACTGACCCCTGGCCATTTGGCTATCCGTAGTGTTCACTATTTGTTCCTGGGTTCTGCAGATCAAACTGGTCTTTCTCTGGTGTCTGGAGAATTCTTCAGGAAAGTGGGGGAGGTCCAGTAGTTTCAGTGTGTGCATTGGTGATTCAGCTTTACCTGTAGGCGGAAATTCGCAAACACAGAAGGGCAAATGCGGGGTAGCATGTGATTGAGCATGTGCTTGTAGGTGTGTCCTAAGGGACAGGGTGTTGGAGAATGAAGAGGCTTTCAGTATGTGAGATGGGTGACTTGCAGGCACTGAAGGTGTTGCAGGCACTTAAGTGATCGCAAGTGCTGTTGAAGATTGAGAGCGCATATTGTTTTTGTAGGTCTGTTAGGCTTTGGTGGCTAATCAGCTGGTTATCTGCCACAGAGGGGTTGGATGGCCCTTACAATCACTGGCTGGGCAGCCCTGTGTAGTCAGTACTGCCACTTGCAGACTTGGGATCTGAGAAGGATTGTAATGCAGATCTGAGTCTCTGTGGCTGACACTCTTTGGGTGTGCGCTCTGGCTTGGAGTTTCCAGAGTGCATGCACTCAGGTGGGACCCTGTGTTGGTGGTGGTGGTGGTGGTGGGTTAGCTCTGAGGGTCTAGGCGGGGCATGGGCTCCTCAGATGTGTGCTCTGAGGGGTGGCATTCAGCAGGCGGTTACAGCTCTCTGTTGCAGCTGAGGGACCTGAAGCCCTGTCTCTGCTATCTTGGGCCCCAGGTACTGAGCTTTTTGGATTTGGGATGCAGGAAGGATTGTATTGCCGAACTGAGTCTCTGTGATTGACACTCTTTGGTTGGGCCTGTGCTCTGGTGCTGGCAGTGAATGCACTCCTCTGGTGTGGGTAGGGTTTCCGAATGTGTATGCTACCACGAGGCGAGATTTCCTATGGTGGGTGTGCTCAGGCAGGGCGGGTTTTCCGGAGGTGTGTATGCTCTGGCTAGGTAGGAATTCCAGAGGGACATGAGCTCTACTGTGCTTCTTGTGGCAGTATCGGGTCCACGGCATGGGGGGCAGGGATGCTGTGTGGGTCCAGTCCGGAGCTTGGCATGAGAGCCCTAGGTGGGCCCAGGGTATGGGCTCCTCGAGGGGTGTGGTTCATCGGGTGGTTACAGCTGTCCACTGCACTAAGGGGCCTGGAGCACTGTCTCTGCTGTCCTAATCCTCAGGCTGTGAGCTTTGCGCTCATCTACCTGGGGCTGTATGCAGGCTTCCCTGCACTGGAGGCCTAGACAGGGGAAGTGCCCTACTTCCTTCCCAGAGAAGTCTGTGCCTGATCTAAATCTACAAGCACTTCACGCGTCTGCGGTGTTCCCTCTCCTTTAGAAAGCACAAAAGTCCAAATTCTATTTTCGATTGTCTCTCCACTCACCAATTTCGGAGATTCATGTCTGCCTCTCCAAAACGGTGCTCTCTGTTCACCGCCATCTTGGAACCGCCAGTCATAGTTAATTTGATGCTTAAGACTAAACATTTCTGAAACTCATCACTGGCTTACTCCCATCCTGTACCCATGTGTTGCAGGTGCAATTACATTTTCCGTTAAGAGCAAAGATAAGGAAGATTCTCAGGAAAGTACAGATTCTAAGAAAGACATCTATTCTCAGGAAACACCATCAGATACATCTACCCTCACTTTTGAGGAACAGTCAGGTAAACTTCTTATGATAGTGTGTTTTGTTATTGCACTATGGAAATACTGATTATCATTCATCTTTAAGTTAAAAATATTGCTTACGTGTATAATACCTATCTCAATTTCTGTTGCATATACTTGTCAGAATAATGTATTATTTCTGATTTAATTTTATATAGATTATTTTCTGTTCTGCTTTTGTAAGATAACAAGATTATCATATCTCACGATGAAGGCTGTATGTCTTTGCATTAATGCTAAACTTTATATATTGTCTTATTATTAGACAAAGAATATATACTGTTTCTAATACTATATTAATGAATGTATTGTTTAAATAGAGTATTAAGTTTTTCTTATTTCAACATAGGATATGATAGTCTTTCTCATATAAAACAAATGTAATGGCATTGTATTTTCCCTATAAAGCTTAAATATTGTAAAACATACTTTTAGGAATTGCAAAGGAGAATGTGATAGTAGAGAACTGAATTAGTCAGAATGCGCATCCTGGAAAATGGGTTGTATGAGTATCAGAGCCTGAAACCCATAATTCACACAACAAAGCAGTGTAGAAATATACCAAGACTTCTCTCATACAATACATCTTACCTACATTATTATTGAATGAGTTTGAATTGCAGTTCTTCTTCTTCAAAAAAAAAGTAGAGACAATTGATGCTCCACAAGGACCTAATATATCTGGGCACAGGGGTCTTTTATGAGACTTTTTTTCCAACCAAGGACCATGTATGGATATAACCTAGAACCTCTGCTCGGATGTAGCCCATGGTAGCTCAGTATTTAAGTGGAAACCCCTAGTAAGAGGAACAGGGACTATTTCTGACATGAACTCAATGGCTGGCTATTTGACCTCCCCCCTTGCACAAGGGAGGAGCAGCCTTGCTAAGCCACAGAGGTGGACATTGCAGCCAGTCCTGAAGATACCTGATAAAACAGGGTCAGATGGAAGGTGAGGAGGACCTCCCCTATCAGTGGACTCGGAAAGGGGCAGGGAGGAAATGAGGGAAGGAGGGTGGGATTGGGAGGCAATGAGGGAGCAGGCTACAGCTGGGATACAAAGTTTTTATTTATTAACTTTTACTTATTAAATTAAACATTTAATTTTAATATTTAAAAATAAAATAAAAGTAAAAAAAAATTGATGCCCTCTCTTATTCTCTTACTCTGTCTCTAGTTACCCTGTCCCCCTCTTTTCCCATACACATGCATGTACATACACACGTACATACACACACACACACACACAGACACACAGACAAACATGCCCATACATGCACACTGTAGTTACATATTACAGATAACGTTACATTTTGTGTGAAAAGCAGAAAAAAGTAAGATTTTTATAAAAACCCATAGGATTTTCAGGAAGATGGAAATCTGGAAAAAAGAACCCCCAATCTCTCTCTCTCTCTTTCTCTTTGTGTGTGTGTGTGTGTGTGTGTGTGTGTGTGTGTTTGGCTAAGTATGGTTGTAAATGCACTTAACCCCAGCACTTGGGAAACAATGACAGGTAGATGTTTGTTAATTTGAGGCCAAAATGGTCTACATAGAAAGTTCCAGGCCAGCCAAAAAACTAACTTTTCTGGTTCCTCTATTTATTCCACTCAGTAACTTATAGAATGTGTCTCAGATCCATTCATTTTTATGCTTTATGATAGCTAGGCATTAGGATAGACTAGAGTACAAGACAATACACTACAGTACAAGATAGTACAGAATGAGGTAGTTCAATAAAAATATAATTATCTGTAATACAGTATAGTATTCATTTAGTGTCACGTGAGGTCACACATTGTGCCTTTTAATGAAATACATTGTAATCTCATGCAAAATAGTATACATGGAGAAGATTTTCAGAAAGGAGAGATACTGATAATTGTCATTGTGAGCCCCTAATTCACAGATAAACTTTTTCCAAAATAAATTGTAAATTACATATGTGATTTAATCTAGAATGACATTTCTTGAAAAATTTTAAATACAACAATATTAATGGGACTGTGCATACAGTTCACTGACATGAGAAACCTGAGGTATCTCAATATCGAAAAACCAAAACCAGAAATGAGAAGCTACGCAGTTAGAAACACCTGGACAAAAAGAAAGTGAATTTGGTGCAAGGACAGCACCTTCCTGTGAAGGGACCTTGTGGCAGAATGAAATTTCAGTTTTTGGTTGCCAGATTGTGGGCATCAACAGTGGCAGAATTTTCTGCTCTAATGAAAAATCGAGAATCCTGACATAAACATCATCTTACTACTTTGCCAAAACCACTTTCTAACTTTCTTTGAGTTAAATTTCTAAGATTTTTAAATACTCCCATAGAACCTGGACTTCATACTCCTGACCCTGTCCTTAATCTAAATTTTTTTATGACTAGGAATGAGAAGTTCTTCATTGCAATGCACTGTTTAGATATTTCTTTGTATAAATCTACGAATGTTTTAGAAGCTAAAGTATAGTATTTTTTTCATTGGAGCATTAATGCTTGATTTAATGCTTGACCCCATGGCGGGCAACATAGTGAGTGCAAGAAAAACAAAAAACAAAAAACAAAAAAACAAAACAAAAAAATCAACAGAAAAAACAGAAAAGAAAAAGGAAAGAAAGTGTGAAAATTGTATGTTTATGAATATCAAATTTGTATAGAATTTTGAGGCTTATATTGAAAAGTGCTTGTTTGTTGTTTCTTTAGTTTTTCTTTTATTTTTTTTCAGATGAAAAGGTTAAAACTTTAAAAATCTGGTATCATCTTGAGATTCACAGCTCTCCTGGACCTCCTGTAGATACAATTGAACTTCATTGTGTTGCTCTGGTAATAGCCCAGTGAAAGTTCATAAACTCATTTGTGAAACACTAAGATTCTATCCTTAAAACACATATTTCAAAGGAGTATAGTGATCTGGGTGGTGGTGGTGCACACTTGTGATCTTCATCAATCTCTGAAGCAGAGGCAGGGTGATCTCTGTGGGTTTGAGGCCAGCCTGGTCAACAAAGTGAGTCCAGGACAGTCAATCCTACATGAGAAACCCTATCTTGGAAAACAAACAAACAAAATCTTAAAAATCAAAGGAGTATATTGAGATTAGCCACTCAGAACCACTGTGGACTTTAAATGCTTTGGAGAACTATCTTTCAATTACATGGTGTATTATAGTTTCTTTCCCACTTATCGTTCTACCTTCCTATTTCAAGAGTTCTTAAGTAAAGTTAATTTTACCCTATTTCCTTCATTCTCCACATGCTCTAACGGTGTAACTGTTCTTTCTAGACTCCAGCATGTCAGCATGCATTCTTCCTGATATACACAGTAAGGTGTTCTCTTTGAAATATAATGGAGTCCTAGCATAGATTTGAGGTGGTAATAATTATCATCTTTCCATAATTGAATTATTCATGTAATAGTGAATATGTATCTAAAACTTATTAATAATTTGAAACATCAGAGTCTAGATTTAATAATTTAAAACATCAGTAGTCTAGATTTAAGTGAAATAAGATGATGTTAATTTTGATATTTTAATTAGATATGATCAACATATTATTAGCATACAGATAAATTGTTCTTAATTAAATGTTATTTTCATACAACTGATTACTCAGAATAGAAATGTTTAGCTACTAATAATATGAAGTAAGAAAGTATTTCAAATACTTTGAGTCAATAGGTTGATTATATCCCAAACTGTTTTCTGGATAAATAATTATTGAAGCATAGAAAATACATTATGAAAATATCAAAATGCATTCAATCTGGCTTGAAAAATCATTATCTTCTAAGTGGAAAATTATTTACCTTGATTATTTTAGAATCATTTCATTGAATGGAAATGACCCATTTCCTTGGCCTAATATTGGTTTCAACATGGAGACTTACTTAAAAGGATATTTTCATTCATTTCGTCTTCTAAAGATTTATTATTTTTTGCCAATTTTTATTTAATTATTTTTGTTTTTATTAATTACAGTTTATTCACTTTGTATCCCCACTATACCTCCCTCCATCCTCTCCTCCCAATCCCACTCTCCCTCTTCCCCATCCGTGTCCTTCGCCAAGTCCACAGATATGGGAGGTCCTCCTCCTCTTCCCTCTGATTCTAGTCTATTAGGTATCATCAGGTGGCTGCATTGTCTTCTTCTGTGGCTTGGTAAGGCTGCTCCCCCATCAGGGGGAAGTGGTCAAAATGAAGGCAAATCAGTTCCTGTCAGAGACAGTCCCTGTCCCCATTCCTATGGAACCCACTTGGACACTGAAATGCCATAGGCTACCTAGGTGCAGGGGTTCCAGGCCATCTCCATGAGTGGTCTTTGGCTGAAGTATCAGTTTCCAAAAAGACCCCTGTACCCAAACTTTTTTGATCTGTTGCTATCCTTGTGGAACTCCTGTCCTCTCCAGGTCTTACTGTCTCCCACTTCTTTCCAAAGATTCCTTGCACTCTGCCCAAAGTTTGGCTATGAGTCTCAGCATCCACCTTGATACCCTGCAGGGTAGAGCCTTTCAGAAGTCCTCTGTGGTAGGCTCCTGTCCTGTTCCCTTTTTTCTCCCTCCTCAGATGTACATCCTCTTTGCTTTTCTGAATGGGTATTGAGCATCTTGGCCATAGTTCTCCTTCTTGACTAGCTTCCTTAGATGTACAGATTTGAGTATGTTTATCTTATATTATATTTCTAATATACACTTATAAGTGAGTATGTACCCTGTGTGTCTTTCTGTTTCTGGGATACCTCACTGAGGATGCTCTTTTCCAGTTCCCACCATTTGCCTGAAAATTTCATGATTTTCTAGTTTTTTATGGCTGAGTAATATTCCATTGTGCAGATGTACCACAATTTCTGTATCCATTCCTCAACTGAAGGGCATCTGCGCTGTTTCCAGATTCTGGCTATTATGAATAAAACTCCTACAAACATGGCTGAGCAGATGTCATTGTTGTATACTTGAGCATCTTTTGGATATATGCCTAGAAGTGGTATAGCTGAATCTTGAGGAAGCACTATTCCTAATTGTCTGAGAAAGCACCAGACTGATTTTCAAAATGCTTGTACAAGTTTACATTCCCACGAGCACATCCTCTCCTGCATGTGTTGTCACTTGAGTTATTCATCTTAGGCATTCTGATGGGTGTAAGGTGAAATCTCAGGGTTGTTTTGATTTGCATTTCCCTGATGACTAAGGATGTTGAACATTTAAGTGTTTCTCTGCCATTTGATATTCTTCTGTAAAGTTTTCTCTGTGTAGCTCTGTACCCCATTTTTTATTTGGATTACTTGATTTGTTGCTCTTTAACTTCTTGAGTTCTTTATATATTCTGGATATTAGCCCGCTGTCAGATATAGGGTTGAAGAAGATCCTTTCCCAGTCTGTAGGCAGTTGTTTTGTCCTTTGCTTTACAGAAGCTTTTCAGTTTCACGAGGTCCCATTTATTGATTGTTGTTCTTAGAGCCTGTGCTGTTGGTGTTCTGCTCAGGAAGTTGTCGCCTGTGCCAATGAGTTCTAGGCTTTTCCCCACTTTTTCTTCTAACCGATTTAGAGTATCTGGTTTTATGTTGAGGTCTTTGATCCACTTTGAATTTAGTTTTGTGCAGGGTGATAAATATGGATCTAGTTTCATTTTTCTCCATGTAGACATCCAGTTGGACCAGCACCATTTGTTGAAGATGCTGTCTTTTTTCCATTGAATGGTTTTGGATTCTTTGTCAAAAATCAAGTATTCAGAGGTGTGTGGGTTTACTTCTGGGTCTTCTATTCGGTTCCATTGACCCTCCTTTCTGTTTCTATACTAAGACCATGCAGTTTTTATTACTCTTGCTCTGTAGTACAGCTTGAGGTCGGGGATGGAGATACCTCCAGAGGATCAGTTGTTGTACAGGATCGTTTTGGAGATTCTGGGTTTTTTTTTTCTCCATATGAAGCTGAGAATCTTTCTTTCAAGGTCTGTAAAGAATTGAGTTGGTATTTTGATGGGAATTGCATTGAATCTGTAGATTGCTTTTGGCAGGATGGCCATTCTTAATGTTTTAATCTTTAACTGTCAGATATGAAAAGTAATTTGATAGAATGACTTTTAAAATATTCAGTCAAGCCTTTGCATTATTCTTGAAATAAATCGTTCTTAGTACTTTCAAATGTGTGCTGAAATTGTTTTCTTCACATAAATATAACTTCTCCATGTTTGCAATCACATTTATTGGCTTGCTAAATCATTTAAGAATTATTTAGCTTAAACCTGAGATCATGAAATACAGTAATAGTATATTCATGATAGTTAGATATCTCTGATTTCCAGCTGCTTCTCAGATTTTTATTATATTTAACATAATTTCTGCCTTTTGTTTACACATGAATAATCAAATTTATCCTGAAATGGACTTCATATACTATTTGTATTATGAAGATCTTTATGCTACTGACAACTGTAGAAGGTCTGTATGGTACTGCTTACTATAAGGTTAAAAACATTTTATACCCAGTAAATAGCAATTGAATGTGAAGACAGTATTTTTGATCATTTAAAGTATTTAGGCATTATTTTGTAATTTTACCATTTATTTGAATTTCTAAGTAAAAGAATAAAATATACTCCTGTACACCATGTATGGAAGAGTAAGAGTAAAATGTTTTCCTCTTAATATATTCAGTGGCTCCAGTAAATACTTTGTGAAAATGTGTGTAAATAAAACTTTATATGTTGCACATAAAAATGAGTGTGTTTAATTGATGTGTTTTTTTTAGCAAGTTTAGTATTTTATAATAAATAAATATTTAAGATTTAAAAAATTTGGAAATTTTAAGAAAAAACTGACAACTATTTTGACATATCTATATTCATGTTTGAGAAAAATATGCTGGCATTAGAAAGACAAGTAAAAGTCAGATCAGAAGATTATGAATGCCTATCTCTTCAATTTAAACTATTCTAATAGGGAGTATATGTTAAATATGTGACAAGTTTACAATTACCTGAAATACTATGATTTTAATACAATTGCAGAAAGTAAGCCCTTTTTTAGAGTTTGGATTATGGATTGTGATGTGATAGGGGTAAGATAAATGCTGACAGGATATGTGAAAATACAGTGGCATGCAGATAAGAGCAGCAGAGGAATGAGATTGACATTTCCCATTTATAGCTGCTTCCCTTCTTCTTTTTCAAGTCCCAAACTACTGTAACTAACTTTTCAATTTAAGGAAATCGTAAAGATAGATTATAACTATAGTTCCTTTGAATTACAAAGTACATTCAAAATACCCAAAGTTCCATTTATTACTGACTTGGTAATGTTTTCAAATTTAATTTTTTTAATTTTATATTAATTTAATTTACATTCTGTGAGTACCCCTCCCTTTTCCTTCTCCCATCACCCCTCTTTCTATCTTTCCCCCTCACCTCTCCATTTCCCACCTGAAAAGGGGAGCCTCCTCAGCACCCCTCCCCCATTAACCTTCCCAGCACATCAAGTCACATCAGGACTGTTCTTATCTTCATCCCTTGAAGCCAGGCAAGGCAGTCCTGCCAGGAGGAAGGGATCCAAAAGCAAACAATGGAGTTCATGTCAGAAACAGCACCCCCTCCATTTGACAGCTTCTTTAGATGAACAGATTTTAGTATGATTATCACATACTGTATGTCTAATATCCCACTTATAAGTGAGTATATACCATGTTTGTCATTCTAATTCTGGGTTGCCTCATTCTGGATGATCTCTTCTAGTTCCCATCATTTTCTGCAAATTTCATGATTTCCTTGTTCTTAATTGCTCAAGTGACAACACATGCTGGAGAGGATATGACAGAACCCTCTTCTATTGCTGGGG